ATGAGTTGGGAAATGCTATTATTGGGATGCGTTGGGCAATGCTATTATTGTGCATAATTTTTTTATCCTTTGTGTTACTGGGATCCTTCGTATTACTGGGATCAAATGATTTATGGGATGTAGTAGTTATTGTTGTTTACTGGGATTAAATGATTTATGGGATGTAGTACTTATTGTTGGGCAGGCTCTCTGTCATCGTTAGTCTGAAATTTTTGATCCTTCGTAGCTCCCTGTGATCGTTCGTCTAATATTTTTGATCCTTCCTATTACTAGGATCCTTCGTCTGAAATTTTGCAGGCTCCCTGTAATTGTGTCTGTGCTGTCATATGAAAGATTTGTTTGGTATAATGGGGTTTTAAAAAAAATTTTCAGACGTAAGATATGTAATGTTTTGCAGGCTCCCTGTAATTGTGACTCATTTTGTTCCTTTAAGCAACTCACTAATGTACTTGTTTGTTGCGGATTGAGAGCATTTGAAAGTTTGGCATTGTTAGAATGCGGTGAAATTTGTTTATGTTAGTTTGGCATTGTTGCATATAATAGCACAAGTATTTGAATTGCATATAAGCCAGACATGTTCCTTTAATTGATTCGAGAAAAGCAGCCATACAAAAGTGTTGTTGGGGTTTATATTTGCCAGCTATGTTTCTTTATCATTTTAAGGGTGAAAAACAGCTATAAAAGAGCTCATATATGGAAGCTTTTTCATTTCTCTTGCTGTAGGATTGTGTTTTCTTCAATCATGTGGAAGAGATGTTGGGGTTTAATTGCTTCAATCATCTGAAAGGTAAATTTTTTAAGTTATGCATTTATTAGTACTTATAAGGCACAGCTTGATTACTGAAGAAATTGCAGTTTGTGGTTTAGCTAAACAGAAATGTTGGAGTTTATTTGCTTGTCGGGTGGCATTCGATATTTTGCAGTTGTAATTGCTGCAGGTTTGAGTACAAGATGAATCTTTTCTCGGTTCCTGTTATTTGTGAGAGTATGGAAGAATTTTTAGTGCTATGTATAGTGCTTGTTTAGTTGAGAGCATGTTGTAGTCAACTCTTCAATTAAGGTTCCAATTAAGGTTCATAGCTATGTAATCTTACAGATTTGCTTAATAAAACTTTCGTGAATTGTCTTCTGTGGATGTAGGTCATTGGCCGAACCACATAAATCTCTCGTTTACCTTTTTTTATTTGTAAATTGCAATGTTGTGGAAAGTTGTCATTTCTTGAAATTGCATAGAATTACTTTATAAGCTGTGGAATTGATCTGGATGAATTTGGGCTATTTTTTTTAACATTTAGAAAGTACTTATATTCTTTTATGTTTCATATAGTTTCAAAATGTATTTATTTTGTTTTGTTTTGTTTTAGTTTTATTTTGTTTAATTTTTGTTTACTTTTTGTATGGATTTTCCTTTATTTTTATATATAAAGCTTAATTTTACGATCTGACAGATTCTTCTTACTGTTTTTTCTCAGGAGAAGTATGAGCTCTAGGATTTTAGGGACCACCCGAGTTGTGTTGTGTTACTGCGGACTACCGGCTCCCTTACTCACGTCACGTCAGCTGCATAGCAGTGAGAGACAGTACTACGACTGTCATAGGGGTGTTTCAGCAAGATGCAGTTTCTTCCGTTGGGCCGACATGCCGATATACTCCCATGCCGACAGTGATCGTATTACGGTGCTTTCCCAAGAGGATAGTGTCGCTGAGGACAGACGACGTCAGAGTTTTAAATTGAACATTTTAATATTTTTACTTGTAATTGTAATTGTATTTCTTCTTATTTTATTTGTTTTGATACTCACGAAGTGATGAGCAATGTATTTTAATTTTTGTAACTGAACTGTAATATTTTGAGACATCTGTTTTATCTATTATTTTTCATAAACAATTCTGTTGCAAATTGCTTAACCAAACAGGGGCAGAATTGTCATTTATTCAACAACAGCTCTCAGTAAGCTGTTTTGAATAAGCTGACTCAAACAGCAAGCCGACTTATTCTGATAATCTGCAGGTTATCAGAATAATCTGTTTATCAGCAGATTATAAATAATCAACAGCTGCCCCAAACAGACCCTTAATTCTGGTGTATTAAAAACTTAAAAAATTTGGCCTAGTACCAAATACACTGCAAGCTACAAACATTGTCGTCACCCATCACTAGCCAACTGCTACACACTGTCGCTAACACCAAACGTCGTCACTCGCTATCAGCTACCATAGCCAATTGGTGTTGCCTATCGCTCATCAACCCAGTTAGCCACTGCCATAGCTACTGTTGTTTTTGTGTTTACATTGATTTCATTTTACTTTATAAACTCAAAAGCAATCTCTTGCGTTTAGTTTACATCTAACCAAAGAATTCTAAAGAATTTAAATACATTACATTTCAAGCAGTTTTGATTAGCGAGTAGATTTAAAAGAAAGATAATGAATTGAGTAAGAAAAGATGTCTACTTGAGATACTTTTCTAAACCCTATAATTGATGTGATTACATAGAAATGTTATTAGCATTGTAATTGAATAAGTAATATAGAAAGATTAGAATAGTAAGAGATTTTATAAAAGAAACATTTAAGCTAGAATTAAAATTTTAGAAATTTATTTAAGTAGATTAAAAAGCTAAATTATTGTTATTAAGACCCATGTGATATAAAAATTAATTTGAAAACTTATGTCTTGGTGAAGTTAGAATGAAGATTATAAGAATATAGAATGAGAAAGTTAATACAAAAAAATTTATTTAAAAATTTGTAAAAATATTAAATCAAAAACTTAAAACCATGTTATGTTTATAGGTACTAAACTAAAGGTGGTGACTACCATGTTATGTTTTTTAAATACATTCATGTTAAAAGTATAAGCAAATGTGAATGAAAATTTAATGTTTAAAAAAGATACCATATATTGCATTCGCACTGAAAATTTAATTTAAGTTTCATTGATTTAAAGAAATTAAATAAGAAATTAAATAAGAATTAAATGAAAAAGATGCATAAGTCAATCACATGATTTGCCTCCTTGTGGTACTAGTTAAGAATATTATTGCTCATACAACAAATAGAAATGTACGTGGCTTATAAAAAAAATTAAAAAATTAAAAAAATGGATATACCATAATTAGTACAATATTTAATTAAACAGTACTCCTATAAAGACCTCTTAAATAAAATATATATGCTTAAAAATTTTTATAGAATAAAATGCTAATATGAAAAGATTTTTAAAGAGTATGTAAGAGCATATGCATAAAATTTTTTAATACATAGTAGAATTGTAACTATTTACTAAATTATTATATAACTTAGCTATTATTTTATTTATTACTGAATAAGCTCGATTAAACTAAACAACAGACAAGAGAGAATTTATTTACAAAAGAAGATGTGCAACTAAAAATAGATAAAATGAATTGTAGATTATTTTATCATTTCCTATTGAAAAAAAAATTGTTGTTGAATCTTTTTAGGACATAAGATCCATTATTGTCGTGAGTACATACAACCATAAGAAATTCCTTGCCTTATGCAAAAAGTGTTGGGGGGAGACAGAAAGAGAGAGAGAGAGAGAGGAACCTTAGATCCTAGGCCTTCTCGAAAAGTTGGAAAAAGGCCTATTCTCTCTCCTCTAATCTCTCCTTTTATACATAAAAGAAAACTATAAATTAATCTAACCTGTATACTCAACACTGTATCGTTCCCTCACTCCAATTGCTTGATATAAATCATCAATATAGATGTCAAATAAAGCCAACCAATGTCAGGTTTTGTCGGTGCGGTGGTATTCCACGATATCTAATTGAAAGGACTGACTCCCCAATATCAGGTGGCATTTTTAATGAGTGATTGATAGATGTCTTTATTATTCATGAGGGCTTCCTCGAATTGCCACCCTCATATAGGTAGGCTAGGTTAACTTCTTGAGAATGATGCTTTGCCAAGTGGTCACGATTGGGCCACTTCGCCAGGTGAGCCCAATTCGGCGAGAGAAATTTTTAGCCAAAATTCTCGTATAGGTTTTTTTTTTTTTTATACAATTGTATGAACTTGATTTTATTTTATATTTATTTGTGAATTGGATGTGATTTAGAAATATTGATATTTAGTGGCTCTTAACTGATCGGATGAAAATTTATATTGTTATAAATGTTAATTAGGTATGACTCTATCATCTGATCATCTATTTCGGTCTTGGTAATTACAATCTCTCAGTTCAAGTCAGGACAAAAATGGAATTAAAGTATTTCACCAGCCTAAAAATGAGAGTTAAATGTCATAGGAAACAAAAGTACTACGTTATGAGATAAAGTACAACATGGTAGGAGCCATTTCTTGAATCCATATGGGCATCTTTAAAATCATATTTATATAGTGGATGATTCTTGGAAAAGATCATTGAAGAGGAAGTCAGTTACTCAAGTGAGGGAGATTATAAAACCCCTCAAGTAGAATAACATTGAGGTCTTAAACATCGATGCATCTTTTGGGGTAACAATTGAAATTTCATCTGAAACTCCAAACTTAAGTGTGCTCGCATGGGAGCACTCTCAGAAATGGGTAACCTCCTAAGCAATTAGACAAATGAGACTAAGATCGTTCGGCCAAAGCATATAATAACTAAATGAATGAAAGTTTGGATTGTTGCATCTTTAGCATTAGGAGATCAAGACAAATGTAATGTTAGATTGCATATTTATCAAATCAAGGAAATAGCCTCTCTTCAATGCAAGGATGAGATTAGGTGCACAAACCCCTCCGAAGAAGAGTCACATTAGCAAAAGCCTCAAGCCCAAAGTACAATCATTCGCAGAGCAGAAGCAATGGGAAACAGAATCGTGTGATAAGAGGAGACCATACAGATTTGTATATGGTCACCCTTTAGAAAATCACAGCTATTCACATGTGGACCAAGTCCATAAGAAAGACGTCATAAAAAAAGCATGCATGCATGAGCATCAATACAAAAAAGATTAAATGATTATCAGCAATCAAAATTAACTTACTTTTAGAGTCCACAGTTTGATAAATTCTTGCTGCTGCGTTACAGGGTCTGTCAGGCCATGCAAGAATTCTACTTCATTTGGGGAGAAAAATCTACGAGCAAAAGATAAGAGCTCATTCCTCAATCTACGTCGTTTATCTTCAACATCAATGCCAACCTATCATAAAGATAGAAGATTGATGCAACAATTGAGGATCACATCACTTCAACTTGTGTGGTATATTTGAAATCAATGTAGAACAACTACTTGAATGTGGCTGTACTTATTCTCAATTACCTGCACGTCAACGGTCACAGCACATGCAACTAAGGAGGAAGTATGTGAAATATTGAAATGCAAGCAAGGTGGAACCCAGCCATCCTCGTCTTGCCAGACAAGCTGTAAAGACAAGTGAAATACAAAACCAACGCCAGTTTAATCATCATGCGTCTTTAAAGAAACATGACCAGGAAATGTAAGTATTTACATCACAAAAAACACCCTATCTACCCCTCCCTTATTCCAAATAAAAAACAATACAAAACAGTAAAGGAAGATAGAAAAGGGAGTACCTGCGGCTTCCCATATGTATTCTTGCTGAACCTTAGTGATTGAGGCTTTATTTTACTCTGCGTATCTGATCTAAGAATAAGCATAATAAAATGTATTGCAAATATCATATCATTATTAATTAATTTAGACGTAAATATATGCAAATCCCGAAGAGTACTCTGGCATTGTCCAATACAATCAATTTCCTGAAGTCTATGACAATACATATACATCTTTAATCACACACGGAACACCAGAGGTAAATTCAGGATTTCTTTGTACACCTTATTTAAGTGTGAAGTCAAAATTTTATTATTGTATTGGATAAGACATGGTCTTTATTTTTCAACATTTGTTGCTACCAACTCGTGACTCATCTATACTTAATTTCTAAATATAGTGGTTAACCTATTACAAGATTAATCACATTTCACTTTTTAAAATAGAGACTACCAAACTTAAACTTCAATAATTCAAGCTTGAAACCTATCATACCTAAGCACTAAATAAAGAGATGATTGTACTATGCTGAAAAGCCCTGCAACAGAAGCAATAAAGAGAAAAAAGAGAGGTGTCATCCAAGGAAAAAAAAAAAGAATAATCATTGTGCTTACGGAAAAACCCCTGCGCCTCTTCCTCCCATATGACTTCTGTAGGCCATTCTTGTAATGCAAGAGAAAGGGAAACAGAGAAGCAGGAAGCAGCTAGAGAAGAATGGAACCTCAACCAACATTCTATTAACCAAGCACCTATATATATATTATACATATGTAATGTAGAATATATATAAAATGGAATACGCATGTGCAGCAAATATTCTAGAGAGGTGGAGGATCAGGTTGTAACTGAATGAAGGCAGACCGAGTGGTCATAGTGTCAGAAAGTCGTTGCTATGAAGGTGGAGAGCAAAGCAGCAGGTTACTGTTACTTACGAAAGGAGTTCTTTGGCTTTTTTAAGAACAAAGAAGCATTGCAATTTCCGGTCCTAGCATGAGAAGCTCTTTGTAATAACAAAAAATAATTCTCACTTGGACTCCAGCAACATAAAAGAGAAAAGAATAACGGGAGCAACAATAGCATCTCATTTTTCACAATAGGAGATTACATTCTCTCAGCTAGAATAAGTGGTAGCTTGGTCCATATAAAAAATTTTGATATAAATTCTATTTTTTTATTTAACCCTTCTGAAGCTCAAACATTACTCTGTGTGACCATTTAGAATGGCTTAAGTCAAATATTGTAAATTCGTGTATTCTTTGTGGCCATGTTTGATCTCGTTTGCAGTTTCTTTGTGGTTCATCGTATATACCCTTGGGTTAAGCCACACTTCCTTTCTAATCAACTGATGTGAGATCAAGGTATGAAAAGTATGATGGCCATGAGTTTCAAGACGAAGCAATTTGATATCTCGAACAATTTTGACCTTTGGAGAACCAAAATATGTGATGTTCTAATACTACATGAACTTATTAAGGCATGTATGGTATAGAGAGATGCAAGAAATCATATGTGAGGGGTGACAAGACAAATAAATAAGATTGCTGCCTTAGCGAATTTGCCATGTTTAGTGCATGAGATCTTAATAGAAATCTTAGAACACAATTGTAGAACATCTGCAGGTCAAGTTGTATTCTTTGTGCAAGATAAAAAGTTTCTCCAACAAACTTAATTAGAAACAAAGAGTATTTGCTTTACACGCAGAAAGAAGTATTTTAAAGCGATAATCACAATACAGTGCTAACATTATGTTTTGCTTTAAGGCGAAAAACAAAAAGCAAAGCGATACTTTCATTAGAGCATTTATAATTAGTATATTATATAAATATTATATATACGCATAATAGTTATCTAATAAACCAAATTTAAAAAACAACAAGATACACAATTTTTTAGCAAATATAATGAGGCATTCAATAATAAAAATTTATAACAATTCAAAATATTACAAAAAAAAAATCAAATATATTAATGATATAAACAATAAAGTAATGTACACATGCATAAAAAAACAAAAATATGTTACTGAGAGACGAAGATAGTTCAAAGAGATATAAAATGTGAAGATTGGACATTGAAATGTATTTTTGAGAAGAAGCTTATCAGTGAAAAGCTGCTAGTTCCAATAACGAGAAATAGTGAAAAGCACAAAGAACTAACAGGAGAGCAAGCGTGAAAAGAATAACCACCAAGAAACATAGCTTAAATGAAACAAAATGGAGAACCAATGAACAATACTCGATGACTTTGAGAAATAGTGAAAAGAAGCAAATGATAATGCCTAGTAATCATGGTAGATGTAGAATCGAACTATGAAATATGAGCTATGATTTTTGCTCTAAGGCCAATCACACAATGCTACGATGTAATACAATTTAGCGAAGCAAACTTGTGCTTCACAAGCAAGCAATACATATGGTCAACGCATCCCTTCACTTTACTCCTAAAGTGTGCTTGGAAGCACGCTTTTAACAATATTGGCAAGAAGATATGCCTATTAAAACATATTTGAACAAGTTAAAATATTGATATGACTGTTAATGAAGATCAAAGTTTTGTTTTTATTTAGCACTTTATTTCCCTCTTGCAACCAATTCCAAGGTATCAGGTTACATCGAGAAATAATAAGAATAGAGGTTTCCCTCTTGCAACCAATTTCAAGGTATCAGGCTACATTGAGAAATAATAAGAATAGAGGTTGCTAAGAATTTACTTCTTTCAAAGAAGAAGATTTACAAGCTGAGGTGATAAACTAGCAAAAGGTTTATATCAAATTAGAGGAAGATCATGTGACCAATGGTTATATTGTAATTATGACAAGGGTAGTTTTAAGAACAAATTTAAAAAGCATATCTGCTTCCAATGCAAGGAAAAAAAAGGCAAAAAGGAAAATTTATTTTACATTAAAGAAAAAGAGAGCAAGAAGCAAAAAAAAAAAGAAAAGGATAAGTTACCCGATGCAAATATAATTATAGATCTTTTTGGTTATGAAATTGGTGATGCCATTTTGAAGAGTAGTAAAAATGGCATAAAGAACAAAGGCTTTTAAACTTAGTTTATTCTACTTGCAAAGTATTCCATATTGGATATGGTTTTCACATATAAGTCAACTTCTATTTCTCTATTTACATTGGGAATGAAACTATGAGCGCAATTGGAGATTCAAGCACTTTTAAGTTAAAAGGCGAGTGATAATATAACTATATTGTTGGCTAGAGTCCGATATAAACTAAATTTGAAGAAGAATCAAATATTTTTTTAGTTCTGTTTGGTTGCAAAATACTTCTCTAGTAATGCAGGCACCATTAAGGCATACAAGGGCACTTCAGTTGTCTAAAAGTTGAATAGAATTATTAGACTGTATGTTGCAGAATATAAATTAATGTGTTGATGTTTTGGATTTAAAAACTATGATAGTAGCTCGCGAAAATAAGAATGATAACATCTAGTGCCCAAATATGAGATTTGCTATGAAATCTATTGTTGATACTAAAGGAAAAAATTTGAGAGGGAATACTCACTTAATTCTCAGTGCCAATCTTCAACCATAAGGCTACATATATATGGAAATTAGTCTCTCTTTATTTACAATCTTACCAAATATATATAGTCAGAACATGCAAAGGGAATCATTCTGAAACAAACATAAATATGAAGAGTATAAAAATTAATCAAGGACTTTCCCAAATTGTCTACAATTAACCCATCCATATTTGCTTGCATGGTCAGCCTAGGCCCACCATGTAAAGGAGGTCGATCCTCTTAGATTTCCACACTCCCTCTCAAGCTAGGCCATTGACTTTGTAGAGAACAAGCTTGGTATTAAACTTTAAGAAATCATTTAAAAGAAGAGCTTTGGTGAAGACATCAATAGCTTGTTGGTGTGTCGGGACATACCTTAGTTATATAATTCTACCATTCACTTTTTTATAGATAAAGCGCCAATTAATTTCAGATCCTATCATGATGCATAGGGTTCTTGTCAATACTTATAATTGTTTAATCATCACAAAATATTTAAATATGCCTATTAAAGATACAACCCAATTCCCTCAATAATTTTTGAATCCATATCTCTTCACAAATTCCTGAGGCAAGTGCCCTATGCTCTGATTCTGAACTACTTCTAGAGATAACAACTTGTTTCTTACTTCTACATGTGACCAGACTTCCCCGTGCATAGGAATAATAACTTGTGGTGGACCTTTCTGTCAGTGAGTTCCCTAGCCCAACTTGCATCAATGTAGAATTCTACATCCTTGTTTCTAGTTCTCATAAAAATTAATCTATAACTAGGAATCTTCTTGAGAAGCCTCGGGATCCTATACACCATCTCCAAATGCTCTTTATTTGGGCTATTCACATGTTAGCTCATAATACTAATAAGGTATACAATATATGGCCTAATATGTGGCAGGTAAATGAATTTTCCTACCAATGTTTGACATCTTCCCTGATCCATGGATATACTTCTATCCTATTAGACTTCTTGTCAGAAGGTTTGCATCCAATCACCTCTATCTTCTTTAGCAAATCTAAGATGTATTTCTTCTGTGATATAACAATGCCCTTATTGGACCTTATAACTCCATATCTATAAAATATCTCATGGTTCCTAGGACCTTGATTTCAAACTCAATGGCAAACACTTCATTGATTTTAAAAATTTTCCTTTCATCATCACCACTAAGAATCAAATTATCCACATATATTATCGGTCCACTAATCTTATCTTCCTGGGTGTGTTTTACCGACAATGAATGATTTGCTAGACCTTGAGACTATCCATTGGATCTCATAGTTTTAGCAAACCTTTCAAACAATGCCCTTGGTGATTGCTTAAGACCATAGAGAGACTTCCTGAGTTTGTATACTAGGTGTTTATTAGAATCATTCTCAAGTCCTGGTAGTATCTTTATATATACTTCAAAATCTCCATTTAAGAAAGCATTATTTATGTCAAGTTGATGTAGATAATGTTAAATTTGGCTAATTTTCAAAGATAGTAGCTCCAAACTCAAGTTTCATTAAATCCAAGCTTGCTACCCCTCGTGCTTAAGCACAATACAGAGAGATGATTGAATTGCATTGAAGAATAACAAATAAGAAGGAAAAATGAGAAGGGGGAGGAGGGTGAAGAGGGTTATAATCTGAGGAAAAAAAGAATTTTCTGGGATGTTTGCAATGAGAGTTCTTTAGCTTTCTCAAAAAATAAAAAAGTGTTAATATTATTTGTTCTAGCAAAAGAAGAAACTACTGGTCATAGAAAAATTCTCATTTGAACTGTTGCAATAGAGAGGAAGAGAGAGCAACTAGAGCAACAATAGCATCTCAGTCTCAACATCTAAAACCTCATCTTCATGAATGCATTTTCTCTCAACTAGAAAAAATATCTTTATTCATATCTCAAACTTTATAGGATGTTTGCTTCTTCGTCTCTCTTTTAAAGCTTGATAGATTACTAGAACACTATTGTGATCATGGACGTATCCTAACCTAAGCAGAATCATGTAAATTTTGGTGTTCTTATTTGTTGCAATTGGCCACTTTTGATGTTAACTTAGTTCATCATACCTAACCTTGTGTTAAGATAACTCTTTCCTAACACGTTCAACAAGTGAAGCATACTTCAACAAAGCTGAGAATTATCCATCTAATTAAGCCTGTATGCTTTCAACCATTGTTAAATAAAAGTAAGCTCGTCCATCTCCGACCAGTAACATGGCACTTATTTACTGGAGTAAATCTTCCAAACACCACCACACAAAAACAAACACAAAAAAAAACAAAATTTAATAGTGAAACACACAAGCATTAGATATACGAGTAGAAAGTGGAATAACAATGTTAACAATATAAGGATGCCACATTGAATGCAACAAAATAAGTCACTGCAACAAGATAAATAAATGCCTCCACTCCCTATTTTCATTTTAAATGATTTTGAATGGATAAGAGTAAAAAGCAGTCTTAAATAATACAGAATAAAGATATTTGCTTGTTAGAAAACATCACTATCATAAGGCATTCGAATGGATAAGTGAAAAACATTGTGAAATGATAGTAACTAATGATATTGGTGGAACATCACTGATCAAAAGGGATAACAGTCGGCTGACAAAAAAGATAAGTATACTTTAACATACATCTTGAGAGGGTGGTGCGCACCAGGGTACGCGCTAATAGCGCACCCTTCTGTTGTTTGGCTCCATTTATGCGTAAAACAGCTTGTCTTTCACATGGAGAGAGGATCTTTAAATATTGGTTTAGTAGGGACTCACAGTTCACTTCATCGGGCACTACATACCAAAAATGAGCTTCCCTGGCGATGAGCAAGAGCACCAATTCAATGACCTAAGCTCTGAAATAGCTTGTAATTCTATAAAGATGTAATTCTATAACGAGTACCTTCAATCCAAGCATCTTTCTTTTTAGCGCATCGGAGAACCAATGGTAAGAATTGAATTTTGAAAATATTAAATAGGTTGTAAGACATAGAAATATTATACTGTCTTTTTAAATGTTATGAACTTTTTACTTATTAATTATTATAAATTATAATATTGGTATGTACATATATATATATATATATCTTGATAAAAACTCTGCATGAAACATTCGAGTAAGTTCTACATCGTCAGAGCAGAAACAGTTTACAGACCAATCTAAGGGTTTCTGCATATTAAAACCAGGAGCAAACTGTAACATGCCAACATTTAACCATATAACCACAGGATGCATTTCATATAACATTCATACTGTCAAAACAGGCTTTTCAAAGCAAACAAATAGCAGATTGCCTGATGTGTTGATTTAAACATTTGAAATTTGACCCAAAAAATGCATCATTGTGTTTGATCAATCTAATTATTATAAAATAAGATGATAAAATGCATTGAAACAAGCATAAAAGAAACTATCCTTATTTTTTATAAATTAACCAGCTGTTTCTAAATCCACTGAGACCCTTAATCTTACTTAAGAATGCTTGCAGATGCCATGTCTTTTAAAAGTAATTTCACATTTCATGGAACTTAATCCATGGGTTTTGGGTGCATCGTAGGAGGGTGCTCTCATAATTCGCACAAAATTCAGTCTTAAGAGTAACATGAAAATAACAGTTCGTTAATATAGAAAACTACAGCCTCTCATTGCTAGTTTTCAACGTTAACACGGAAATGAACAAAATTACACAAAATAAATAAGAAAGATTAATATGAATGAGAGCATTGAAAAACAAAATGAAGGAAATCATATGGAAGAGAAAGTTTGAGGAAAAAAAGATTAATTGCCTTGGACATGGAAGAGGATGACAATCCAATGAAGGAGCAGTGAACAACTTCCGAGCTAAGATTTCTCTAGAAAATGGTAGCATCCCGTTGTTGAGCTAGTGGCACATAAATACTTATTTAACCTAGCATTTCAGAAATAAGGAGTTCATACATCATAGATAATTCAAATTCATTAAAGAGACATGAATTTAGTAAAAGAACAAGTACAAAGTAGGTCAGTAAGGTCAGCTAGCACACCCTAACACAATGTGGTATATTTATTGAATCCTACAAAGTGACATTCCAGAATTACATCTTCATTTATAATAGTAAAGATTGACCTTCAGGTGGATGGAACCATTAACTTAAAATAAAATTTCAGAAGATTTACATAAATACTACTTAATTCAAGTCCCAGGTGTTTACATATCTAAGACCTAAACATAACTTTTTACATATATGTCAAGTTACTTATGCATGAAAAAGGTGTATTTCACCTTTTAAAAGTCAAAATTGTGTTAATTTTTATTTGATATGAATTTGTGTGGTATAAATGTACAAAAGTAAGGTTTGACGTTTGGTATAAAGAGTTGAACCGGCCCCATTTTAATAGAGCCTTCATAATATCTAGAATTGTTCTAGATAACTACATTCATATTTGCATGTCCCAAGGAGGAGCCTTTATGGTTCTCCAATCCGACTAGCTCAACATACATTTCTATATATATAAAAGGTTGTCTAGTGCGTCTAGGTTGTTAGAAAGATCCCCGACCCAGACAAGGCGTAAGTCCTTTTGTTGGGAGCATTTTCAGCTTTGTAGTTGAACCTCCATTTTTTCTCTTTTCCAGCGGCATCTTCGTCATATCGGCAGGTATATGTCTCATCTCTTGGAGCTCCACCTGATAGTCATAAGGCAGGGCTTCCTTCCTTTAACCTTAGGCCTACCGAGGTCCCTCATGGACGAAGCAATTCATGGATTACTGACTGAGGACTCTGGACGTGTTGGGTCAACTACCTTCACAACCAGGTAAACTTAAGGTTTTAGTGGCATGGAATGACGAGTTTGTGGTACCCTGACCCAGCTACCTCTACCTTTTAGGGAGTACTCCTCACTTCCTTTAACTACCAATGTTGAGCCATGTCGCTCTTGTTGTCTTCGTTGACATCATCTTGACGGCCCAAATGTCAATGAGTTGTCGCCCATTTGGGATATGACAATTTGTCTTCAGCCTTTATGGTCCGGATGTGTTTGACGCATCGGGATTTTCCCGTCGGAATGATTTGGTTATTTTGCAGGCTCAGCATATTAATGAGCCTATTAACCATGTAGGGACCGTAAGAGATTCGCTCTCCACCCCATGGCTTAACAGGAGCTTTGAAAACATCAGACCATCTCCCTGCGAGAAAACCATCTTTTGATAGTCTTGTGTCAGTCGTCGCTACTTATGCAATCAAAAAAGTCATTTGGCAGCCCCCAAGATGTAATTAATCAAGCGGGATACGTCTCATTGGGAGCACTCTTGATCCCAAATCAGGCACAAAAACTTAAATCTCTGGTTGTGGGTAGTCTACGTATATGTTCTTTCGTGGATACTCGTCCAAAATGCTTCTGTCAGATCTTGTTCGGGCGGACATGTTTAACATGTTCTTGCGAGGATTATCGCACATAGACTCTTCACGTTTTTTCTCTTGTTTGTCTTCTTTATCGTATGTTTGTTTTTTTCGGTTCTTATTTTCTCCTGATCATTCATATGATCAGGAAGAGATATTTATTCGGAAAATGAAAGTTTACGACGATAGACAAACTGACGACTTCCCTAAAAATTAAAAAATATATATGAAAACAGTAGCATCCATGAATTTATAGTATTTGTTTAAAATTGGAGAATGGCACTTGTAGCCATTTTTGTTAGAAGTATAATAAATGAATATACATTTGATGGATTTTAGGTCAAGCATTGTGTGGTTTGGTTGGTGAATATGAACAAAAGAAATAGTCAAATATATTTAGAGGAAGATTGGATGAGATGACTCTAACATGATGGTATGACAACATCAAAACATCGAGAGAGGTTTTGCCCAAGCTTGACATTCTATTAATAAGATAGGTGGATGTGAGCAATGTATCTCCCCATAAAACTTTTAGGATATTGTGAGAAAGTATCATAGGCCTAGATAGCTCAAGGAAATATAATTTTTTTCTCTCAGCTATTCATTTTGTTGTAAAGTCTCAACAAGGAAACTTGCATGAATGATATCATTTTTTGCAAGTTGAGGTACAAGGATCGAGTTAAGTATTCGTTTACAATATCATTTTTCAATATCTGAATTTTACATTGAAACTGAGTGTAAATCATGTCATGAAGGAATTGAAAGATTGTGTAGTTTCATATTTCTCTTTCATGAGAAATATCCAACCAGTTCTAGTGTAATCATCAATGAATGAGACAAACATGTGGCTTCATTGATGCTTTTTAATTTTGATGATCTCCAAATATTACTGTGACTAATAAAGAAAAGATGTTAAAATTTATACTGAGATATAAAATATACATTACAAGGATGTTTAGTCAATTGACAAGTTACACACTGACAAAATTTTAATTTTTTATTAATAAAAACATGAATATTACTTTGTAATACAATAAAAATTAGGATGACACGATTACAATGTCATAATAAAACTAGAGTTTCAACATACTCATAAATATGAGAAGAGCAAGATGAAGAAGACGCTTGTGTGTTAAGAGAATAGTTTTCCTTGAGCAAGTATAGACTTTGATGTAGTACAACACTGCTAATCACATTTTGTGAACCTACCACCTGAAATTGATAAGAGTTCGAATGAAATTTAGTGATGCAGTTCAAGTCATGAAAAAGATTGTTAATTGAAAGGAAGTTGTAATCAAGTTGGGGAAAATAAAGCGCGGAAAAAAAGCAGAATATCTTTGTAGACTTTCACTTCTTTCACAACATCCTAGAGTGAGATTCATGGACAAGTCTAACAAATTTGGAAGTAATGATCTCTTAGTAGTTGGTGAGAGCATGAATGTCTCCAATCTTGTGATCAGAAGTGCCTGAATTTATTTTCTAAGGTCAAATCTCAATTGTTAAAAAGATAGGAGGAGAATATGATATCTTCAAGTTGGTATGTTGCTTAGTCGTGCTAACAAAAAGTTTCTTCAGCACCACCAGTTGTTCCTTGGTGAATAAACCAAAGAAATCTTCAAAAGAGGTAGCAGCATGGGTCTTACTGTCTTGACACTTCCTCCCTTATCCAGGTTTCCAATCTACAAGATTTTCATGTAGTTTCCAACACTTGTCTTTTGTGTGACCAAGTAACTTGCAATGTTTGCATAATAGACGATTCTTCTTTGTGGCTTTGAATCATGGGAGGAGTTGTATGTGTAAAAAGCAGAGCTTTTAGTGCTAGAAGGATCAAAACTTCCTATCATCACGAGCTTCTTCCTATTTTATCTTCTTCAGACTGCAGCAAAGATTTTTCTAATGGTGGAGAGAAGCTTCAACCCCATGCAATAAGAACTTGATCATCCTCTTCTTCTTCACTATTATTTTATATCACATAATATCTTGAGGGTAGTTTCATACATATGTATCATACACATTTAACAATAATCAATATTTTAATAGTGTGTTCAAGCATTGAGTAACATTTAGCTCTTCTTTTCAGAGTTCATGCAGTTTAATCTCAAACTCAAACAATTATGCAATGTTTTTGGTACTAGAATAAATTTCACGGGTTGTTTCTCAAATTTCTTGTGATGTCATGTAAAACAATAAATTTTATCCGACTTCCATGATCATAGAATTGATTGAGACATTACCATATGATAATGGGTTTTCCATTAGCGATGGTTCAGATTAATGAGCTCAAAAAATTGTGCTCTCTCATGTGAGATGTTCCTCTTTTTCTTTTTCCACAAATATGCATAAACAAGGATTGAGACCATTGAAGGAAGTTATAGCATTGAGTTTATGGTTGCTGATAAAGGTTGAGAGTTCAAGGTTGTTTGGATAGAATTCTTGGTCTCTGATTCAAAACTGACTTTTAGAGTATAACTAGACGTCTTCATTCGTGCTTGGTCATAAATATGCATGTTTAGGGTTGTATGAGAGAGTTGGTTGCTGCTTTCAGCAAGAATAAAGGATTGCAGTTGCAAGAGTCCAACGGCTATGATAAGGAACAGAGAAGGGCATGCTCTGGCTCTAGGGATTCAGGCGACTGTTGAATAGTTGTTGGAGAGGCTCAGACGCTTGTAGCAGTGAGCAAAAGAGAGCCTGTAGTGTGAAAAGAGGGATTTCAGAGGCTGTTGGGAGGATTATGACTGTTGAAGGAGAGCTAGGGTGATCCCATTCGAAGAGTCCTAATAGGCGAAGCCGAAGATGATGGCAGCAATCGAAGACAACAGTCAAAGATGTAGCAAATAATTAGCTTAGACAAACGAAAATGAAGTCGATTCATTTGACCGACACAGACAAAGATGTTACAGGAAGAAAACAATGATGTCGTCCAAAGCATATGTGGATGAGGTCTGCTCAAATTCATTTGAAGGACACAAATAAAGTCGTTGTCGTGGGATGAGAGTGACGATGTTAGAACCATACAAAGCAACGCACGATCAACGTTGTCGTGTCGTCGCAAGGTGACGAGGAAGCAGAGGGAGCTGAAGAAGCCATCGATGCCTAGCGTTGCAAACGATCCGAACGAGACTTTGATATCATTAAGAAATGTAGAAAAATTATATTCTCTTATTCAATCGTATTCCAATTATAATCTTTCCCTTTACTATATAGAAATCTCTAGGATAAACAAATTAAAGCTATTACAACTTACCAAATACAAAACAAAAAATAAAGAAAAGACATATAATATAATAAAAAACAGAATAAAAAAGAATAAAACAAAAAGAAAAAATTCCCTCAAATAGCTTCTACAAATTTACACTGTGGGGCCCATATAGCAGGTTGTTTGGCCCACCTAATAGTGACAGAATTGCAAAACATCAAAATGCAATATTGGGTTTTTGGATCAATCTCATTTTACTTATTAATTTGCAAAGTTCAGAGATCTTTCAAGTCCCTTAAAAGAAATAGTTTGCATTTTATAATCACAAAAATTAAC